TTGCCTCCAACCACCAGAAGATCCCTGCAGTTGTGACAACCAAAAATATCTCCAGACATTCACAAGTGTCTCCTGGTGGGCACACTCACCCCTGACTGAGACTGCTTAGTTCAAGTAAGACAGGTGCCATAAAGTAGCATAAATAAAGAGCTTTAACCATTCAAAACAGGAAGAGACATATTTATTTGGGAAGATCAAGAAAGTTTTGTGGACAAGTAGCTTGAGATGAGCTATCATTAGCACTAGCCTAAGGCACGTTTGAAATTTTGACTAAAATGTCCATCCCTTGAGCTATGAGCAAGTTCTACTTGTTAATTTTGAGCACACATACTAATAAAGGGCATTCATAAAACTATAGGAAAATTATGTTCTGAATATTTTCTAATATATAAACATCAAGGAGAGAACACTATTCTTTACCCAATTCTTTGTATATTTTCTAAATAAGTCTTTTAATTTATAATTTTTATTTTGCTTTCATCTTGAAACTGCAATTTTCTAGCCTTGTCTATATTCTTAACAAATCATTCTTGTTTTTATCATATAATGACACTCTTAATTCCTAATAATTTTTTTTAACTTAATGTCTACTTTGCCTATTATTAATGTATATAAGCATTCCTTTGGTTGGAAATTGTTTCATGTCTTTTCCCACCCCTATAATTTTGTTATTAATTATTTTATTATTTGTGATGTCAGTTTCCCTCTTGTAAATAGCATATTTTGTTGCTAATGTTTTATTAATTCATTCTAAGAGTCTTTTAAAAGTCAATTTTGTACTGTTTATATTTAACTGGCAAATTTAGATCTTTCACATTTACTATAATTATTAACTGATTTAGATTTATTTCACCACCTTAATTTCATATATAGAAAAGTTATAGTGATAAGATATTGGACTCTGAGGCCAGACTCTTGAGTTTACTACTTACTAGCTGTGTGAATTGAGCTAACTATTTAAATGATTTGCATATTAATTTCCTCATCTTTAAAATGGAAAGAAAGAAAGAAAAGACTACAACAATAAGCTGAACTTTCAGAAGGAGAGAACAAACCAAAGGATGCTAGAGATGGGGGGACGGTGGGAGGGGTTTGGGAAGTGATAGGTTGGGCAAAGGACATAAAGAAATATCACAATTTGTAAAAATGAATATGCTAATAATAAATAAAAATTTTAAAAAGGAATGATTATGATATTTCTTACTCAACATCACTGTAAAGATTAAATGAAAACACATGTAATACACTTATAATACTGCCTCAATATGTAAAGTTATTGAGTGCATTTATTATTTCCATACCATTCTTTCTTCTTTACTTTTTCTCTTTTCTATTCTTCTATTGGATTAATTTTAGTGTGATGTAATGTATTTCCTTTTTTTTTTCTGTCACTACTAGTTTCAAGGTTTTACATTTTCTTTTATACTTTTTGTGGTTAAATTTAACTGCTAGATTTGACTCAAAGTTTAATCAATAGCTTTACTTCCACACAAACAATATGAAGATTATCAGAATACTTTGTTTATTTTTATTCATGCATTTCCCAATATTTTGTTCACCACTGATTCTTATATCCTACTTTTCCCAGGATTTAAAATCCTTCTTCCTGAAGGAGAGGACTGTTAAGGGGAAAACTCCATCGGTCTGTGTTTACCTGAAATTTTCTTTGCATGACCCTCACTCTCGCCTGATTAGCTGGGTAGAGAGTTATAAATTGACAATTGTTTTCACTCCACTCTGTGAAAATATTATTTCATAATCCTGCCCTCCATTGTTTTTGTTGAGCTAGCGATAGTCAGTCTAACTGCAGTACTTTTTTATGTAATCTGATTTTTCTATTTAGTTATATTTACATATTCTCTTTAATTTGATATTCTTAAGTTTCACTAATATGTATCTAAATGTGAAATTATTTATTCTTTATATAACCTATGCTTTTTAAGTTTGTCAAATTTTCATTCTGAAAAATTTCAACCATGTTTTCTTGAAACGTAGACTCCCTTATTTTCTATATTGTCTTCTTCTGGAAGTCCTGTCATATATATATATGTTGGGCATTCTTATTCTATCCTCCCTGTGTCTGAACGTGTCTTCCATGTTTCTATCTCATTGCCTCTGCTGCATTACAGATCATTTTCTTCAATTTATTTTTTAATTCTCTAATTCACTTTTTGGTCCTTAATAACATCCTATAAACTATTTTTTACTGTGATATAATCTCAACAGGTCTTCTGTGAGATTTCCTTGTGACCTGGATTGTGGAATGTCTCTTCAAAGTGATTTTGTATTCACTTTTGTTAGGCACACACTGGTTTGGAATCAATTTTTTTTGTTTATTGTTGAGATGGGGGTTTCTACATCTTGAAGTTATTGGCAATTTACACTCTAATATTCAGATGTGGGTCAAAGTTTAAAAATTCTTCTTTTTTCTTTTTTTATTTTTAAATCCAGAATCTAGGCAGAGAGAAGCTTTATTGTTATATATCTGCTTTCTAGGTCAGTGTGTAATTTTTGTTTTAGTTTACTCTTTCTCTGAGATTTCCACCCATTTAGGTCCCCAGCCTTATGTCATTTTCTTCTCCAACTTCTTACTTGAGCAAGGTAAAGTAAGATCATTAAAATCCAAGTGCTAGACATACTGTGTCTTGCATTCAACTGCTCCATCCATTATACCCTACGATTTCCAGAGGTTCAGCCCACAACCTTACCACTCTTCATTTCTAGCACCAGAGCATTCTCTTTTCATCTTGTTAATTCAGCTACATATTTTATATATTGTTTTATAGATATTTTATACATTGTTTTATTACATTCAGCATCTGTAGCTGCTCATATTGGGAGGAAATTTATACTGTTTTAGTTCACCATTTTATCAGAATCAGATGGGCTTGCACTGTCTACCAACATCAATACTTTATATATTGCAAGATCACCATGCACACAACATTGTAGGGCAATAAGGCAATGCTTTTCAAAGAACTTTTAGTTCACACTACTGTTAGGAAAATGGCAACTTTTTTTAGACATGGTTGGAAAGCAATGGGTTATTTTATTTAACAAGAGTCATTCAGAAAAACTCAGAGCAGATGCCCAGAAACTTTTTCTAGCTTTACTTCTAGGATCTTCCTATATATCTTACAATTTCAAAGAGCAGAAACAATGCCCAGGTGAGAATAATGCAACAATTTGTATATTGTGATTCCAGAGATGTTACTAATAAAAGAATTATGAGTAAAAAATAAAGAAGGTGAAATTAAAGTGAAGACTATGAACAATTCTTTGAAAATCTGAAATGAGGAAAGAAAATAAATTATTCACAGCCATTGAAATTCTGATGTTCTCAATGATCATTTTTGGTATTATCATGCTGTATTCAATATATACCACCCAGATGTGAAATTTCAAACACGGTATGCATGAATTAGCTGACAAAATACTTGAAAGCAGAATATATTTCAGTATTCACTGCTTAATGGTTTTGCCAAGGAAATTGACTTGATAATACTTCATGAATAGTGCCAGCTATTATAATGTGATTTCAAAGTCCAGTCTAAAAACTATATCAATATCTAAAAAATGGAATAAAAATTATAATCCTTACAATTTTAAAAGTCATTCATTTCCTTTCTGTTTTTTTCCTTCACAGGATTAAGTGAATCTTAAGGCTTGAAATCCCAAATAATTTATTCTTGTCATTGCTTTTTACCCATATGCCAGTTATAAGTAATATCTGGATACAAATTCTAATGAACAATAGGGTATGTTATAGGGAGGCAGAAACAAAAGTAACTGCATAAAGGGTCAAATGTAATTTAAAAATTACTTCTTATTCATTTACTGAAGAGTAAAAAGCTAAGATCAAAAATTATAGTCACAGTGGTTTCTGTCTTAAATCCATAAATTATAAATGTATTTTATTGCACAGCTATTCCTCTATGTGATGAGGACTATTAAGAGCTTTCAGATAGCTTTTCTTACCATGGGTTCATCATAGTCTCAATTGCTTTCTCTATAAATGAGACAGATCTATAAGTTAATAAAAAGATAAGATGATTTTTAATTTAGATCCCTAATTCCAAGTCCGCCTGAAATCTAGCCAAAGAACAATATGCTTAGTGCCATGAAAGATCAGCAGACGATGATTATTTCGCCTATGGGGGTGGCAACAATGTAGATAAAAGCTCAATCCTTGCGTGCTTCTTAGGTTCCTCTTAGTTTTGCAAAGTGCATGAGTTAATGCTAAAATGCTTCTTAATAACCAAATATAATAAATGCAAGTATCTATTGAGATAGCTGTGTCAGGATTCTGAATCTAACAACCCTTTATTTTCTGTAGAATGCTGGAGTTTAGAAAGAATTTCCACAGAGAGATCTGGTAATATAATTGTAAGTAAATTGATACTCTGAGAAGCAAAGTGATTTTCCCAATCACAGACAACTAATTAATTTCAAATAGGACTAAAACTGACTTCCTTTTTTCTATACTTTGGAGTCTCATTGTACATTGGAGATATAGGATAAACAACTTAATACCACTCCTTTTGTCACTATCCTTTCTCTTTCCCTGTAACGTAAACTGATATTCCTTATGGAATATATGACCAAAAAAATAAATAGATAAATAAAAAAGGAATAGAACACTTTTACAAAGAAAGCTGTGCAAGTTCCGGTTCTGGTATAATTGTGTGAGCCCCTAATAGCCCAACACTTCTACTGATAACAATTATGAACTCTAGACCAACTAGGACAACTATCTTTTGTTTAGCAAGGATAATAAACAAGAGGAAAAAGACCATGAAGAGGAATCAAAATGTGGAGAAGACATATTATAAGGGTAAGTTTTCAGGTTCATTTTTTCCTTTGGCAGTACTTGAAGGTGAATCTCAGTTGTAGAGTGTCACAGTGTAAACAGCCAAATTTCTAACAACCCACTTTTTTTTTCTGTCTACAGGAAACAAGGAAAGGAACACAGACGTACTGAGTGCATGGGTGGGAGGAAGAGAGCTATAGAAAGAACCCTTAACTAGGGGAAGGAACCTGCAGAAGTCTCAGCCTAACTACATGTACATGACTGACTGAAACAATGGAGGTAAGTTTTAAGGAACAGAATTGAGATTTGTACCATCATCCTCAGAAGGTGAAACAGAACTTATAATTTATATTTAACTAGATTAATTTCCTGCTAAAAGAATAATAAGAAAGTTTTCCTGAGGATTATTGCAGAACCCATAGTATAGAACAAAAAGGCAAAGGAGGAGCAAATTCACTCTTTCTTGTGGAACTGGGACATTCATCTCCTGTCCTTGGACATCAAGGCCCCCCTGATTCTCTGGCCTTTAGACTCCTGCACCTAACACCATGTTTTTCTTTCTCCCTCGAGGTTTTCAGGGCTTTGGACTGAGACTGAGAGTTACACCATTGGCTCCCCTGATTCTCAGGCCTTCTGATGTGGACTGAATTACACCAGTGGCTTTTGTGTTTGTCCAGCTTGCAGACTGCATATCACGGGACTTCTTGGTCTCCATAATTGCATGAGTCAATTCCTATAATAAATTCCTTCTTATATATCTCTATACATTCTATTTGTTATGCTTCTCTGGAGAACCCTGACTAATACATCACCACAGGTCATACAGATATTAAAAGGATAATAAAAAAAATGTTAATGACATCTTGATGCCAATAAATTTGACAATTAGAAGAAATTTGTAGAAAAATACAATAACCAAAACTGAACCAAAAGTAACCAAAAAACATTAGTAGATCTTTATCTCTTAGATAAATTATACTCACAGTTAAAACATTTACTAAGAGAAAATTCCAGGCCCATAAAATTTTATAATTTTATTGGTGCATTCTGTCAAATCTGTAAGTCAGCTTTAACACCAGTTTTACACATCGTTTTCTGGAAAAGTGTAAATCTCCAAAGAAGATATATAAGAGGCCAATAAGCACAAGAAAAGATGCTAAAAAATCATTAGTCATCAGGAAAATGTTAATAAAACCACAACGAGATACCAATTTACGCTTCTATTTAGGATGGCTAGAATCAGAAAGTCAGACAATAAGAAGTGTTGATAACCATGTGGGGAAGTCAGAATTCTCATACATTGCTGGTGGGAGCGTAAAATGCTACAGCCACTTTGAACAACAGTATGGCAGTGTCTCAAAAAGTTAAATATAAAGTTACCATTTGATCGAGCAATTCCAGTCATAGGTGCTCGTGGGTGTGTGTGTGTGTGTGTGTGTGTGTGTGTGTGTGTGTGTGTGTGCATGCACGTTATATATTTTTGCAGTTATTGTGTGTGTGTGTGTGTGTGTGTGTGTGTGTGTGTGTGTGTGTGCATGCACGTGTGTGTATACATGAATTAAAAACATATGTCCACACAGCAATTTGTACGTGAATGTTTGAGAGCATTGTTTATAATTGTCAAAAGGTGGAAACAACCCAAATGTCCATCAACCTATGAACAAATAAACATAATGTGGCATATGCAAGCAATGAAATATTATTTGGCCATAAAAAGGATTGAAGTGATAATACAGGCTACTATACGAATGATCCTTGAAAACATCATGTGAACTGAAAGATGCTAATCCAAAAGACAACATATTTTGTGATTCTGTTACACTGTATGTGCAGAGTAGAGGAATCTGTGGGGAAGGAAAGTAGATTAGTGGCTTCCCAAGGATGGGGCTGAGGGAGGGGAATGTATAGAGGTTTCAGGAGTGATACCTAAAGGGTACAGGATTTCTTTGGGGGATAATAAAAATATGCTGAAATTGTAATGATGGTTGTCCAGCTCTAAGAATGTATTAAAAGCCACTGAATTATACATTTTAACTGGTAACTATGATATGTGAATTATTTCTCAATAAAGCTGTTACCAAAAATAGGATAATAAGTTATGACCAATTCTTATCCTAGGAAAGCAAGTTTGGCTTTACATTCAAAAATTAAACAACATGATTCACTATATAAAGAGAATAAAAGAGAAAAACCATATGATCATTTCAATAGATACAGAAAATGTAATATTCAATCATGATTAAAAACTCTCAGCAAACCAGGAACAGGAGACTTTCACAAATATCTTTATGGGAAAAAAAATCAATCCTCACCTCACCTCACCTCACCTCATACACAGAAATTATTCAAAGTGGATCATAAACTGAAATAGAAGAATGAAAAGCATAAAACTTCTAGAATAATGCATAGGAAAATATTTTTTGAAGTTGGGGTAGGCAAAGATTTATTAAAAAGCACATAAAATCAAAAAGTATAAAATAAAAGAACACATCAGATTTCATCAAAATAAATATTTTTGCTCATAAGAAAATAAAAATTCAGGCAAAGAATGGAGAGAAAATATTTGCCGCATATATCAGACAAAGGACTTGTATCTAGAATATATCAAAAGCTACTATAACTCAATAACAAGCCAATTCAATATTTAAAATGACAAAATTTGAATGGACATTTCATTAAAAAATATACAAATGGTCAATAAATGCATGAAAAGGCCCTAAACATCTTTAGTCATCAGAGGAATGCAAATAAATGATGTATCAGTACACACCGTTTAGAACAGCTGAAATCAAAACATCTGACTATACCAGATATTGAATAAATATGGAGCAGCCTTAGCTGTCATTCACACTTGTGGTAATATAAAATGTTACAGCTTCACTGAAAAACATTCTGAAATTTTAAAAAATAGTTAAACATACACTTCCCAGATGACTCAGCCATCCATTTCTAGGCATTTACCCAGGGGAAATAAAAACATGTTTCCACACAAAACTTGTACATGCATGTTCATAGAAGCTTTATTTGCAGTTGATAAAACCCATAAACAATCAAATGCTCATCAAAGTGAGTTCATAAGCAAATTATGACAAACTGAATATTATTCAGCAATTAAAAAATGAACTACTGAAACATGAAACATCATGGATGAGTTTTGAACTTTGAAAGAAAGAAGCCAGACTTATAAAAGCTCATGCTGTACAATTTCATTTAAGTAAAATTTGAAAGAGTGCTGATAATCTACAGTATCAGAAATTAGACAGTGATTTCCTGAGGACTGGATGGAGAAAGAGATGGATTGCAAAGAGGCTTGAAAATTTGACTTTGGTTGGTGTAATTATGCAATGTCTTAATAATGATAATGGGCTCATGTGTATATATAATACATATGTCAAATTAAATTCAGGGATATACATATGTCAAAATCATTATACTATAGATTTTAAATAATTTGAAATTTATTACACATTAATTATACCACAAGTGCGTAAAATAAAACAAACCAACAAAAGAGTAAAGTGAGGTTAATTGTTCATCAAAGAAAAAGTTCTTTCAAATTTACCATATTTAATTTTTCAGACAACTTTTTTAACCATTAGCTCTGGCGACGCTATAGTCTTTGTACATTTTGAAACGAGTTTCCCATAATGTTTTAGATAAGATAGGAAATCTGAACCATATAGTTAGATGGAGCCACTAGGTCGTTAGAGGGTAGGTAATCCTCCGTCTTCCTCTCCTCCTCCTTCCCCTGCCACCACGAATACATTCTCTTCTCTCCTGTATTGAAGAAGGATTAAATTAACTCATTAGGATACTGAAATCCTTGATCTCCCTCCTCTTGCTTCTTACCCTTTTGTACTAAATTAGGGACACCAAGCTTTAAATTCTGAAATCTGTTGGAAGCCAATGTATACTTTTTTAAGAAACAGAATTATATGATCAATCTTACAGCTTTGAAAGATAAGTCCAGCTGGGAGATTATATTGGGAGATGAAGACAGAAATAGGAAGAAGAAAATAGTAAAAGTAAAACAAAACAAGCTTGTTGCAGAGATCCAGTCCTCAAGTACTGCAAATAAAAGGGCATGGTTTTTAGAGTCACTGAGAAGATAGAATTTGTGCATTGGTGGGGTAGGCGGGTAGAGAATGAGACTGATGGCATCCAAAGGACACCTATATTTCTACTTTGAGTGATGGGGTGGATGGAGAAATACTTCCCAGAGAATACAGAATGGATACAAGATGATGTATTCAGCTGTGGATAGGTTTAGCTGCAAGCGTATTTGGAACTTTCAAGTACATATATCTATGGGGCAGTTCAATATATAGATCTGCAGTTCAGAGTTTTTAGCTAGACGTATAAATCTGGAAACATTAGCACATGGACGGTGGTTGAAGCCGAAGGACAAGATGAGATCATCTAAGGGCCCATCTGTGAGCAAGGCAAAGGGCTAAGGATAGGTTACTGGGAACATTGATACTGAAGAGGTTAGTAAAAGAAGAATCTAGAGAAAGTGAAGGAGAATATGAGAGAAAGAAAGCTTGAAGAGGGGGATGCCAGAGAAGCTCAGAGATGACAAAAATGCAAAGATGACATTTTCAAATGTCAGTTTGGGACTACCACATTTCAGTTGAAGCAGCTAAAGTGTTTAATCCAGAGAAGTGAAGACTACAAGGTAGGAGCAGAAATAAGTGCAGAGTTTGTTGTCTAATATCTGAAGACTTATCATATATAAATTGGAGTAGATTTGTGTTTTTCTGGCTTTCAAAAGCCAGAACTAACATATTCATATTTATCATCTAACATACCCATTTTTTTCTTACGGTGAGAACACTTCATATATATTCTTTCAGCTATTTTAAAATGTACAATATAGTGTCTGTAACTGTAGTCACCAGACTGTGTAATGTGACCAAAACCTATTCCTCCTGTCTAACTAAAAGTTTGTACTCTTTGACAACATCTCCCCTTACTCCAACCATATCCCTTCATTATTATTTGTCAGTTAAAAATAAAATATAACTTTTAAAAAAGACAAAAATGAAAGCCAGAACTAGAACCAATGCGTAGAAGGTCCAGAAGGAGAGATTTCAGGTCAAGTTAAGGAAGAAAATTTCATATGCATTTTGTTTGAAGACAAAAAGGGCTGCCCCAATAAAAGTTGTTAGTAATAAACTGATAGGAGGGGTCCATATTGAGAGATAGCACCTATCTATTGCCATCATCTGGAAGCTCTTAATAAATAGTGGGTTGGATAATATGCAGTTGACAATATTAAACTATTCTAGCCAACAAAATAATAATTCTTTATGGTTTAATTTAATATTTATTGAATGAAGAAACAAATAAGTGAATAACATTAGAGAAGGAAGTCCTTTCAATTTTCAGCGGAAAAAAAATATAGCTGCTTTTAAAAAATGGTAATTTTAAAAGGACTGAGGAAAATTAAAACACAAATTGACTATAGAATTTGCCAGAATTCTCTGTATTTTCTTACACCTTCAAATAGTTCCTATAGGAGTCCAAAAGCAGTACCTTAGTTAAGTATTATGTATATATTTATTTACTTGAGTAGATTTACTCAGGGATACTGCACTGAAAATCCATTTTAGTTTCATATACTGAAAATAAAAAAAATATTGTCATTTATTATAATTATTATGGATAGCACCAAAAAGGGAGGGAAATGTTACCTAGTAAATATGAGTATACCTTTGAGTTAGGAAACACAATAGCAGATTTTTTTTATTTATTTAAAAGGAG